TTCATGTAACCTCTACTATGGGCCATCGGGGTATTTTGATAGAAAAATTGAGCTCAGAACATAATCTTTCTCACTGCTGCTTATGAAGATCATACATTTAGTGATCATCCATAGCCAAGTTTTATCCCAGGTTAAATTGGGTCTTCTAACACGGGGAATGTAGAGCCTTAAAAAGTACAAAGTAAATTCACAACTGAAACTTCATCCCCAAGGGTGAATTCTATCTCACAAGAGATATTAAATGTTATTTTTTTTAAAGATTTATTTATTTATGCATACAAGAGCTGGGGTATGGGCCAGAGATGTGGGGAGTGAGAGGATTCACCAGAGACAGAGTGGGGAACCGAACAGGTGGATTGACTGAAATACACTGCTGAGGAGAGCAGCAGGCGAGACAGGAGAGGTCTGCTGCGCCATGTGGGTAGCTCCCTGGCTGGGGATTGAACTCTTGCTGCAGAGGCTATGGATAGCTTCATAGGCTGCGTTTTAACCCCTTGCACCCCCAGGAAGGCCCAGATATTAAATGTTATTAAACTGTTCACTGTGCCAAGAGCCTGCCATGCATCCTCATGCAATTTTCCCTAAAACATATAGGAGGTGTCTTAGGTTGGATTTTCTCTGAAGCAGAACCTGAGACAAAGTCTCAGGTTGGTTGATTGGGACGTGATCTGAGCAGGCATGGTGATGCTGTGGTGAGACAGAAAAGTGAAGGACTGTTGAAGGCATGTGATTGTGCAGGTTGCATGGTGAGCACCCAGGCTACACCCCAATGGGGATGCTTTGAAAGAACGGTGGAGAGCTGCAGACAGCTGATGAGAAGTTCTTGGCTATGAGCAAAGACTGGGAGTCTAAATGAATTTGCAGCAGGGGGAGGCTGGGGAGAGCCATTGAGCGCAGCTCTGCTGTTCACTCTCCCAGCCCAAGCTTTTATTAAAGATATGAACAAAGGGACAAGAAAATAGTGCACAGTTGTGTTTATGCATGTACAGATTAATAAGTTACTGCTGGAACAACTTTTTCTAGTTAGTAGGGATCATGCCCACAAGCCAGCATGTCCTCAGAATAGAAGTCAATTCTGGGAAGAAGTTCTGTTGGCAGAACTTCTAACCTCCTGGAACTCTGTGTGCAGAGTAAACAGGTACTCTGAGAACTCCGGCTCCCTTCAGGGCAGCAGGCTGCCAACAGTGGAGCTACCTTAGTCATCTCATTAGGGGTGAGGAAACTGGGGTCTCTCTCCACCACCCTCATTGGTTGAGGCTTCTGTTGGACTGTTAACTCAGGTACATGGGTTCTGCCTGGCACCTGCAGTTGAACTTGCAGCTGTGGTGGGAGGACACTGTCAGGTGGGAAGCTGTGCACTTTCTGGAACTGTCCCTAGGTGACCTCCTGAGGAAGCCACGTGATTACGAGCAAGACCCCTCTAACTTCTGCTATGGTGTGCAGCACCTGCCACTTGAAAGATGGGAAAGCAGATATTAAGGAATTTCCAAAGAGTCAGATCTGCTAGACCAGGGCATGTTTCATGTCCTTTTGTGGGACCAAGGGCCCCTTGAACCTGCACCTCCATCTTCAAGGTGATGCCAATGGCTGTCGCGTTAGGAAGAGCTAACTATAGCTCTGAAATGGCCCTGGCACCTCTCTCACTTCTGGGGGGTAGCACTGAAAGGTTCGGCATGGTAAAGAAAAAGAGAGCCAGGCTAAATTTTTCAAAGTAAGAGAAAATTTATTGCGCCCCGGGCGGACCTCATGGACCCAAGGTGGGGGTCAGTGCAGCCGCGCACATTGTTAGGGGGAGGCAGGCTTTTATAGGGTGAGGAGAGGTCAGGTGGGAGACTCCCCCCTCCTATGGGGGGGGGAGGCGGGTGGGAGTGGAGTTTCTTTGTCTGAGAAAAGATTTGTAGGGCAGGAGGAGGTTCATTGTCTGAATTCTCTAGGCAGGCTTCCACATTCCTGTTCCCAGGTGGGCTTCCTGGTGGGTTTTTACATTCTGGCCTCCTGCATGGACCTTACAAGCACCCACAGACAGGAGTTGTCCGCAAGAGTGCCTCTCTGCCCCACAGAGCCTGCTGCCTGGAAGTGTACTGACTCCAGGGGAACCCACATTTCTGACGCAGGGCAAATGTCTTGGCTTCTTCAAAATACAGCAGCACCTTGTCGGCTGTGTCTTCCTCTGGTCTCACAGGACAGAGACATGTAGTCTGCAGGGGTCATTACGGCTGTCGAACCAGAGTCAGTGAGGAGAGCAGGCCAAGATCTGAGGCCAATAGACAAGCCCTAACTCCCTCCAGCCCTATCTTCTCTTGCGAAACCAAAGCTGGTCTTGCCCTGCTTCCATGAGCACTTCCAGCCGCTCTGTTGCCACGCTCTTCCCGGGCAAGGTGGTTCCATGTGGTTATTTTCATAGCATGATGTTTAAAAGCACAGATTTGGAGTCAGCCGGATCTGGGTTCAGGTTCCAGCTCCACTGCATGCCAGCAACTTGGGCAGGTCCCCTAACCCCAGTGGTAGGGAGACCGGAGTCTGTTGTGGTAGGCTGTGCAGGGTGACAGTCCCTTCTGGTCACTGAAGGGTCATGTAGGTCAGACACCCCCATGCATTAAGTGCTCAGTCAATGGGAGCTGTTTTTGTGGTAGTAAGAATTATTGAATTATCAGGGGAGGGCTGAGGCGGTATGATATATCCAGGCGGGGTGGTTCATGTTCACCTCCCCTCCCCCAATGATAACAGTGATCATTTACTATTATGCAAATTGCTGGTTATGCTGAATCATCACAGCCACATGAGCTCTTGTCCACCTCCCTGCAGGTCTTGGTGGGACACTGGTGGGTCTGCTAGTCTCTGAGATGTTAGCATTTATCAACCTTGGACTTGATGCTGCAGTGTGGAAACCATTTAGGGTGTGCAGAAGCTGAGACCCAGGGTCAGGTGAGCAGGCACTGTGGGGGCTGCCATTCTTCTGGTTCTTAGAAGTCAGCTCCTTTCCATTGTTTTCCTTCTTTCTTTGGGGGTGCTCTTCAGGTGGCTTGGTCCACTTGGTGCTCTTTCTCTGCTGCAGGGAATGGGGCCCAATAAATGTCCTGCATCCTGTCGAAAGCTAAGAGGGAAGAGGGGCTGGAATGTGGCCTCCTGCCAGCCTTACAGCCCTGTGCAGGGACCAAGTTCTTAGCACCCAGCTTGCCTGGGACATAGGTCACGCCTCCAGAGAGGAAACTTCTGGTCTCCCAGGAGAGCTCTAGCTCACAAGGTCACTTGGGCAGATGGCAGTTCTTCCCCCACACCTTAAACCTTTTCATTGAAACCCTGGAAGCCTTGGGCAGGTGTTGCAGGCTGTGCTCAGGGCTGGGCATGGTGTGGCATGGCTCTCTTCCCCAGGAGCTGGACTTGCTGCTAGACTCCCAGGGCTGCTCTGCACTATCTCAGGGGCTGCTCTCTCTCCCTTCCCAAGGGTATTTTCTGCGTGACTTAGAATAAGTATTGGGTCATGTGGATGTTACTATGGCAACCAGTATTTTAAATAAAAATAGTCCTACACCCCCGGTAGCCTGTCAGTGTGAAATGTGCCTATAGGCAGTGAAAGGCTGTTGGCATCTGCATCCCTTCAGTTCCCAGCAGCAGCCTCCTGGCACCCCCAGGCCTAGAGGGCAGAACCTGCAGCTCTGCACACGGGGGCGGGCATCTCCGGCCAGTGAGGGGGCAGGCAGGTCTCTTGCACAGGCAGGTGTCCCCAGCTGGCCAGGGGCACTGCCTGGCTTTCCTTCCCAGGCATCTTCCAGCAGTGGAGGGGCACTGCTGCAGTTTTCTAAGTCTTTCTGGCAAAGAAACTTTAACTGATTCAAGATGGGCTTTTTCTGCAGGTCTGCTTCTGGGGAACACAGGGAGACAAGGATTTATGTGCAAGTAATATACTTGGGAGATGATCCAAGCATGTGCCAGCAGAGTGAGGAATGAGGCAGGGAAGCAAGCAGCTGTAGGGGGGGCCTTTTCAGAAGTGGTGCTGAGGGCAGGCGGAGCTCAGGCCATGAGGAAGGTGGGGAGACCTTGTTATCCCTTCAAGGGCAAGACAGCGGGTGGATTTATCTAGCAAATCCCCCTCCTTTTGGGTGTGGGCTCCTCCTAGGGGTTTTAACTCTGCACTTGCAGCTTGACCTGGGAGCACAAAACGGCACAAATATCCTCAGGCAGGATCCGGTTTTCTGAAGGTGAATCCTCATTTAGGCCGGCACCCCTGCTGTGGCCAGGCCAGCAGACTTCTGCATGTCAATGAATTTCCCCAACTATCAGAAGAGATTAGGGTTGGGATAAGGAGCTTAATGTGAAAAGTTAAAATTAGAAACAGCCTTATAAAGATGTCAATAAATCTTGAGACCCGTGAAAGGCTGCCTAAATCCTGAAGCCCGATGATGAAGTTGGTACTGTCAAGCTTCTGTCCTCCACTGTGGAGAGAGGAGGCCGGGCTGGGTGCCAGAGGGCCGGGTGTCTTGGAAGAAAGGGAGCAGCTGATGACCCCAAGCAAATTGTGTGTCCTTTATAACTCAGTATCTGATACATTTAGGGAACAAAACTGAAACAGTTAAGCTAAGTCCTTCTCTTATTAAGAGTAGGCCCAGAGACAATGGACGAGAAAAACTCAAGTGAAGCACTGAGAGGCAGAATGGGTGGTGGTTTTGTTTGGGGACAAGCAAGAATTGAGGGTCCGTGATATCTTTCCAGGAAAAATTTCACAAGCACCAAAATGAAGTAGGCAACAGGTTACTAGCTGGAGCATCGGCAGCTGGCAGCCTCCAGCCTCAGGAGGCAGAGATCTGGCCTGAGGCTCAGGGGCAACTGGGTTTTAAGGCTTCTTTTTTCTGGATGGGGAGGGGTCCCGTTTAATTATGCATACCTTGCTCCCATCTCACCTCTTTTGAGGGGTCCCGTTTAATTATGCATACCTTGCTCCCATCTTCCTCTTTTGAGTCCTGTGGGCAAACTACCCTGATGGAGGTAGAGGTCTTTGACAACAAAGTTGCAAACACCAAATTTATTGTGTGGTTGGATGGAGTTACAGACTGGACAGAGGGTAACTCTACAACAGACCAGGGCTGTCGCACTAGTGGATTCTTCTCAGGCCTCCTGGACCAGCCAGATCTTACCCAGTCTTTGAGACAAGGTGTTGGCACTAGCTGAATTTTGGGACATAGGACTGTGGCTGAATCCCCTGGGGGAGTGTGTGAAAGGGCCCCCTTTCTTTCCTGACAGTTTAGGCAGGAATGAACAGGTGAGAATATGGTGGAGATACATGCTTTGAATTCTTGGCACACATTAAGGTGGCATGGGCATTTCTTCTTCTGTTCATTTCTGTAGAACTTAACACTCTGGCTGCTCCATTCACCTTCAGATGATGGTGCCTTCACCTTGCTTTGGAGGCGACCAGCTCCATCGCTGAACACAGTTGCTTCGCCAAGCACCTCACCACCTCCTGGGTCAATTAGACATGCCCCCTGGAATTTGATCCTTGAGTGGGATGTTCCAAGGACTTGATTTGACTGGAGCTAGTCAATGTCAACAGCGCTGTCCTAAAAAAAACAACCAAAAAACTCACTGGTAGTAGGAGAGTGTAAAATGCTTTAGGTCCCTAATTTTTTGACCCTGGATCTTTAGCTTTTCCTTAAATTTTCTGAGTACCCCATAGCAACCCAATATTCTCATTCCTTTTCCTATTCAGGTAACCAGAGTCTATTTCGGTTGCTTGTGATGGGAGAGCCCTGGCTGCTCCTGATTCCTTAGGAGGGATCCCACTGGGACTAAAAGCCTGGAGACCCCTTTGAGAACCTCTTGCTGTTGCTATTGTGTGAAGTAGGTTTATTCAGAAATAACAGGAGAATGTCTTAGCCCCATCTTTCCAGAGCACCCCACTGAGAGGAAAGAAGGGGTGAAAGAGGTTTGTTTGAGGGGTGGGAGTGGCGAGATAGAAGCCTGAGAAGGATGGAGAAAGCAGACGGCCATGTAGGTCCGATGGGGTCTCAGCTGCTCTGTGCTCCAAAGCTGGGCCCACATAAAGGTGCCGCAACTCAACAGCTTGTTCTTTCCTGAAAGGCAGCCTGAGCCGAGAGCCTCAGGAAGGGCAGAGACTTCTGGGCCCAGACTGAGTACCAGGCACTGTCTGTCGCTGTTTCATCTGCTGCAGGCCTTTTGGTGGTCTTGTGAGCTTGGCGTTGGTGAAATGGACGCCTAGCAAGGTATCCACTGCTCGAGGCTGCCTTGCTGGTGCACGCCAGAGCTGGTTTTGCACTCAGGTGTGTGTGACTTGAGGCTTCTGTCTCCATGTCCTGTGGTGGTGGCCACTATTTCAGCTGCCACACCCCTGTGATGAGAACCTGCAGCCTTGGGGGCTGCTCATCACCCCTAAAACTCATATTCCATCTGGGTGGTGTACATGTGCCTGGGCCGTCTTGGGTCCAAAACCCACATGACTTCATCTGGGTCCCCTCGGGTGCTGAGACAGGCAGTTTGCAAGATCCCAGGAAGCAGGCCTGAGGGTGGGGTTTGGAGAGGGGACAAATAAAGGGGAGGTCAACCAGTCATGTGGCCAAAGGGGGGCTCAAATCTACCAGGAACTTGGGGAGCCAGGCAGGAGGTCGGGACAGTGTGACTTGTGTTTCTCATTGATGGAGGCAGCCCCAGGGGCACTGGCTCCCCACATTCCTCTCAGGTATGGCTGAGCTTAGGCCAAACAGGCCCTGGGCAGGGAGCACCAGAAAGAGCCCCAGCTGACAGCATGCAGGGAACTGTCCACCACAGCCACAGGGAACCTAAGGGGCCGGATCACAGGTGTGTCCACAGCAACTGCCACACCAGCTATTTGAGGCTGGAAGTGCCTGCCTCCAGCTTCAGGGTATCTGCTTCAGATGCAGGGGAGCCGCTGCTGTCCCCACCTGTTGGGGCGTCATGTTAGTCTGCTGGGTTGCCGTAGCTAAATGACACAAGCTGAGTGGCTTCAACACACAGACTTTATTTCCTCACAGTTGTGGGGGGTGGACATATAGGATCAAGGTGTCTTCCAAGGAGCCTCTCCTGGGCGTGCTGGCAGCTGCCGTCTCACTGTGTCCTCACACGGTCCTTCCCTGTGTGCGCCTTCCTGGTCTCTGCCTCTTCTAATAAGTTACTGTTCCTAACAGAGTAGGGCCCCATCCTTCTGGCCTTATTTAACTATCTCCCTAAAGGCCTTATCTCTAAAAACTGTCACATCCTAAAGTACCAGAGTTCAGGCTTCAACATGTGAATTCCAAGGGACACCGTTCAGAACAGGTGCGCCAGGAGGGTCTGGATCTGAGTCCATTTCCTTGTATCCCGGGTCGAGGGAAGTGAGACACGTCAGCTCTCAGAGTTTGGGTGGCAATGCGGTGTCTAGTCAAAAGCAGATTCATCTGCCCAGGTTGATTTCCCGATCAGGGACTTCCTTCCAAAAGCCCAGTGAGGGGCCTCCCCGGTGGCGCAGTGGTTGAGCGCTGGGTTGCGAAGCTGCCCGCAGCCTCTGCAGCGCTGGTTCGATCCCCGGCTGCTCCCCGGCCACCAGAGGAGGGTCCCACATGGCGCGCAGACCTCTTCCTGCCACCCGCTGCTCCCCTCAGCAGTGTACTTCGGTCCTTCTGCCTGCTCTGCTCCCCGCTCTGGTGAATTCTCTCACCCTCCCATGCTTCTGACTGTACCCAGTGCTTGTATAAATAAATAAATAAATAAATAAATCTTTAAAAAAAAAAAAAAAAAAACAACAAAAGCCCAGTGAGCATCTTGCCCCTAAAGTCTCCTGAGAAGCCCTGGCTCTTGTCCCTGCCTCCTGGTGCCTCTTTCCAACCTACTGCTTAGCCAGGAGGTGGCACAAGGCAGTGGTCAGGGGCCTTGCCTGCAGGTCCAAGGCAAGGCTGAGCTCCCTTATGCATTTCCCAGCCCCTTGGAAATGAGAAACTGGATTGAGAGGAGGTGACAAGAAAGGTAACCTCACCCCCTCAGTCTACCTTTTTTCAGTGTTGGTGAAAATGTTGGGGGTATGTCACTCATATCTGCTGCAGGGATTGCATTTTGGAACTGCCAGGCTACAAGGAGAATCACTACTGTTGGTTTCTTTACTCTTACAAACATCAAAAAGACCCAACAGCAAGGACAAAAGAAACACATCACAGTATTCAATGAAACACAGATGTAAGATGTGATTCTGTAAAGAACATTTAATGATTTGGAAAGTTTTTCACCCTATTAAGTAAAAAGGTAAATTACAGAGCAACCTATAGTATGGCTGTATCCATGTTAAAAAAAATACAAAGATCTAGAAGGATAATAAACTGTGACTACTTCTATATGATGAGATTGTAGAGATTTTTAAATCTCTCTCCTCAAGTAACACTGTATAGCTCCTGCTTTGGTAATAAAAATACCCATAAACACAGCTGTATCCATAATTAACATTGTTCTGGGAGATGCTGATGGATGACTAACTCTACAGCTATTACTGACCCTTTCCTCTCTTGTTGCTTTTCCATTTGCAATAGTTGAATCCTCACCTTTTATTGTTTCCTTGACTGCCAGGGTACCGAGTGATAGAGTTCTAGCCAGTGAGTTGTAAGTGGAAGCGGAGGTGGAAGTTTCTGGGGAAGCTGTGTCTCCTGATAAAAGGGTATTGGTCCCTCTGCTCCCCTTCTTGGAATGTGGAGGTGATGTCTTGAATAGCAGCAGCCCTCCTGTGACCATGAGCTGAAAAAGGTGGAGCAGAAGGTAACACATTGGTTTTGATGGCATCCTTGAATTGTAGTATCACCCCCACCTGCAGGCATCTTGTTACAGGTGGAAATCCTGATACAGCAGTCTTGCCATCTATTTGGCATTTGTGTAGTGGCTCTGGGGGTCTTTTGTAGGCAGGGAAAGACATTGCTGTGTGCCAGAAAAGAGAAGGACACAGTGAGTTAACTCAAAACCCCTACTATGTGCTGGCACTGTGTGAGGTGCTAGGGAGGCAAACAGCAAAACAGACCTTGATCCTGTGCTTCTGAAGCTTACTGTCTGGTGAAGATACAGGATATTGCAAAGTTGTGGTTAAAGCCTGGTTTAGTGATAATGTGCAGTGTTTGGAAGCAAGGATGTCATACGAGTGTGTACTGGGGGGCCTGACCTGGTCTGGAGCTCAGAGATGGCAGCCTAGAAGCTCTCTTCTATTGTCTTTAAACTCAATAAGAAGCACCGCAAATCCCTGGGCTTAACGACTGTCTCTGACCAAAGCACCCCATGGAGGGCATTCTTGTCTTTGGTGAGTGCCCTCACTTGAGGGCTTTATCATCCACATAGTGACATGACAGGTCTGGACTTGAACGTCCAGCTTCCCGGAGTTTAAATGACACCTGACAGCAGCTGAGAGGAAGCCACCTCTAATGCAGACACAGGCTGAGGTGGTGAAGCTGGGGGCTGCTAGGAGAGGAGCTGTTTATGTGCCAAGAGACAGAGCATGAGTTTATCTTTTTTGGATGCTGAATACTATTCCACTGTGTATGTATACCACATCTTTTTCATCCAGTTTTCCTTTTTTGGGCATTTGGGTTGTTTCCAGGTTTTACCTATTATAAATAGTGCTGCAATAAACATAGGGGTACAGGTATTTTTTTTTTTTGTATGTGTGTCCTTTGGGTAGATCCCGAGGAGTAGAATTGCTGGGTCATATGGTAACTCCATTTTTAAATCCAGAAAGATAAACTCATGCCATTCGCAGCAAAGTGGATAGAGCTAGAAGGAATGATGCTCAGTGAAATAAGTCAGAAGGAAAAAGAAAAATACTGTGTGGTTTCACTTATAGGAGGAATATAGGGGAACCAAATAAGACATCAGAGGAAAAAAAATAATATAAAACTCTACAAAACAAAACCAGACATCCTGCAAGGGAGGAGGAGGGAGAGGGATCAGAGGGAGGGAGGGAGGAGCACAGGGGACTGAGGTGATGGTGCACAGGTGCATTGGTGAAGGAAATTCTATGCGGACTACACCTGAGGGGGGAGCAAACATTGTTATATGTTTATAAAAAGTGAACAACAGCAACAAAAAAGAGCAGACAATAATGCCTCCCCTTAGGGGGGGTTACAGCCTAGTGGCAGGAGACCCGATCACAAATAAATGATGTAGGTTGTGGAGGTGACTGGGCTTTGGACACAAAGCAGGGCAGGGAGATGGGAGGATCCTGCTGGGGACAGGGGTACCTTCAAAGGGGGAGACAGAGTAGTTCTCACCTGGGGGGAGGGAGATGCGCTCACACCTTGGGAAGCGTCTGCAGGGAAAAGTCCAGACCTGTCATGTCACTATGTGGATGATAAAGCCCTCAGGTGAGGGCACTCACCAAAGACAAGAATGCCCTCCATGGGGTGTTTTGGTCAGAGACAGTCGTTAAGGCCTTAGGGAGAGTCCTGTGGGAGGAAAAGAGACCGGTAGGCTGGTGGGTCATATGAGGTTGTGGGTAGTGCAGGTCAGTCCTGTCAGCCGACTTCTGTTTCAAGGAGATTGCACACCTATTCCATTTATTCTCAAAGATCAAGGGGATCAGTGGTGGGCAGACCTGGTAGCCCATGTGGGGAGCTGCAGTGCTGGGTCTGTCTCAGACCCTGTGCCTGCCAAGGAAATCTGGGCAGTGAAGCATTTCTATACTTTTGATACCTTAAAATGTCTCTTTAAATGTGTATGGCTTTGTAATCATAGAAAATAGCCAAATCATTTTATAAAAAGACAGTGGTTACCTCTGGGGACAGGATTATAAGAGACCTTCGCCTTTTGCATGTCTGCATCCTTTGGATTTTCGAAAGGCTGGGTCCTTGAACAGTGGTTTTGCTTGTTGCTATTTGTTTCCTGTCTCTAAAGGTTGCTGGCCATTTCCTCTAGGCAAGGTACAAAAAGAAACAGCATAGCCAAAGAGAGAGTTAACTGAGTTTCAGACATGGAGTCAATTATACAAACCAGCTATGACTCTGCCTTTGAGTCAGACCCCAGGGAACAGCCTTGCCTATTAACTCCAGGAGGGCAGGGCTGCTTTTTTTGCACTTGCATCGCTTTCTCTCCCAAGCTCCAGTGTTTCGAGCTGAAGCTATGTGGAAGGTTTGAAAGCAGGCCGTGCTGGGCTGTAACTGGTTGGCAGGTGAGGCTCCCTGGGAGGAGGAGGAAGGCGCTGAGCAGGGTGAGGGCCTGGCAGTGCACTCACCAGCGACGAGACCTTGAGCATTTCCTGACCTTTCTGAACCCATCCCTCACCTGAAAAATGGGAGTGATGACACGGCTTCCCTTCCCAGGGCTGCTCTTTGCCTAAATGAGATGGCATAGACCAACTGTCTGCCACAAGGTTGTGGTGTCCCTGTCTGTTCTGGAGCAGGAAGACCATGGTTCTGGCCACAGAGGACAGGCTAGCTTGCCTTTCCAGAGTCCCCGCATATCCAGTGTAACAGGACATCTGTGATGCGACAAGGTATGGGTGCCTTCCCCAGCAGGTTGCAGGGGACCCTGGATCGCTGGCAGGTGCTTACCCTTGTAGCCAAACAGCTACAAAAGGCCCTTCTCCTCTGGGCTTCCTTGTATCCCAGGCCCCTCAGTTTTGGGTCTCCCTGCTGCTATCCTGCCACCTGGAAATAAGCCCCAGGGACCAAAGCCCCAAACTGAGCCAGTATTCCAGGCAACTGGAGGATATGTCAGCACTAGGTTTTACTGCTTATTTATTTTTATCCATTTTTCCATCAAAACTCTTCTGCAATGGGGCCTCCCCTGGTGGCGCAGCAGTTGAGTGCTGGGCTGCGAGGCTGCCCGCAGCCTCTCCAGCGCTGGTTTGTTCCCCGACCGCCGGCAAGGTTCCCACAAAAAAAAAAAAAAAAAATAAATTCTTCTGCAATGCCTTTTAAAATAGTCATTCCAAACTCTCTCTTTGGCCTGTGTGAAATGCTTTGGGTTTTTTTTTTTTAGGGGACAGAGGGAATGGTGGACCAGATTTTTGTTGCCTCTTTCAAATTCCATCAAAAAATCAACAACATGGTGAAAGAAAGCTTTGCTTTTAGCTCTGTCTGGGAGGCCCATGATCTCTTCCTGGAATTTTGGCAAAGTGAGAGCAGTTTCCCAAGTCTCACTGCAGTAGGTGAGATGTAGTAAGTGGGGGCTTTTGAATAGAAACCTCAAATCATTATACTCTCTTAACAGCGGCCAGTACCTCCTGTGAGACAGGTGTGTGGGCCTGACAATGCCCTTGACTGTGATGTCCAAGGAATGTATAAAAGACCATCCAGGGGCCTACTGGAAATGTGCAATGATAATGAGAAGCAAAATCAACCACCACCACCTACCTCTCTCCCTGCTATCAAAAACTTAAACGTACCTCAAGATAGAAGAATAACAAAACATTTCAGTGTTTTGTTTTAGAGGTATGGTGTCCTCAGGTTAGCTACCAATCACAAGTGGCTTCTACTTGGTCAGACAGACACAGGGTGCCTGGGCTGGCACGCCTGGTCTCCTGTCTGCTCTAGCACATGGCTGCCCCTCCATCCTGCTGACGAGGTTACTTAGCCTGCCTCTCACTGCATTTTAAGAAAAGGAACTATGTTCTGTTTTAAGAATTCAATCAGCAGTGAATAAAATGGAGGCATTAAATAGGTGGCAGATCACTTACCCTCCAGTGTGCTGTGGTGAGGCTCAAGACCTTCCTTCTGGGCTTGCTTGTTCAGGTGGAGAAGGGCAGGGTCAGGCTGTCAACCCAGAACACTAAGGGATTTACTTCTAAAATCCAAAACAGTGAGTTTAAGAAGAATGGTCACTCAACATAGAGCAAGTGCCCAAACTTCCCACACTGCTCTCAAGGGCAGGCAGGGCTCTTGCATCCTTAAGGAAGGTGGCTTCTTTCCCTCGTCTTTAACTCTGTTTTAGTAATTCTTAAACTGGAGGCACTTCTGACCCTCCTAGAGGGTTTTTTTTTTTTTTTTCCTTAACAGACTGACAGCTCTTATCCCAAATTTCTTGATTCAGCAGGGATGGGGGATTCACAAGTTCAATGAATCCCCAGGTGATGTGGCTGGCCCAGGGACTAGACTTTGAGATCTGTTTTTCTACTTGTATTATCACGTTTCTGTGCTCTCTGTTGTGTTTCTATGAGAGCTTCCTAAGATTAAATGGTAGAAAGTAGCAGTTAATTTCTTTTGAAAAATATTTGAGTGTTTCCAGACAACCCACCTAAAACCTCAGTGACCTGACACAGCTGGGAGAGCAGGTTCTGCGGCAGGAGCTTGGAGGGGCCACTGCTCAGGGCACTGGCATCCCTAGAAAGGCGGATGCAAAATAAAGATAGGGAGCTGCTTTCTCTTTTTGTTGTAAAAGAAAACCCCCTTTTATTCTCTCTTGATTAGCGACAGCAAGTAATAACATGGGTCTTCTGTAAAAGCAAACTAGGGCCACCTGAACTTATGAAAAGTGAGGGATACCTGTATGCACTCAGGAAACTTCCTTTTCAAACTTGACTTTCCCCAGAAGTGCTGATCTGAGGATACGGCAGGGGTGGGTGACAAAGTGTTTGCTCTGACAGGCTCCCTGCAGCACCGCAGCTTTTCCATCATTTGGAATGTGGCTAGCTGTGAAGGAGGGACCCCAAGAAAAAATTATAAACATTTTATAAAGATTCTGAACTTGGCGCTTCAGATGGCATGAATCACTAAATCAGATAAAGTGGGGACAGGAGCTTGAGTTTTTGTCTGGTCAGGTGGCATCAAGGCTACCTACATGGAGGGTCTGGAATGTTCTGGAGGATAAGTGCCTATTTTCAGTGCGGTAGGACATATTTTGGAAATGCAGCCATGCTGGGCAGGCACATGGACCAGGTTTGGGCTTTCTGGGGCTGAGAACTGGGAAGGCAGGCCCAGCGCTGGGCTCCCCAGCTGGCTCTGGGGAGTGCTCAGTTCTCAGGGGCACGCCTTTGTCTTGGTAGCCTCTGACCTCTGCAGGCAGCCATGCCAACCTCAAATGAATTCATCAGCTTAACAAAATTAAGTAGAGCTTCCTCTGGTTCTTAAACAGTTCTCTCTCTGGACCTGACCCTATTTTTAATTTTATTAGGTTTTTAATCAGGTTCCATGATGAAGTACTTTAAACAGGTTAAAGTCTAACCTTTTAGAAAGGCACAGAAAGAGAACACTGCCTGGCCAACCTGGTTTAAAGAACCAGAAAAGGAGTCTCCAAGCATGGAACAGCTTTCACTGTCCCTGCCAGCAAGTCCCGGGACCTCCATGCTCAGTTCTGGCACGTTGGTAGGTGAAGCAGTGGCTCAGGGCAGGGGTTCTGGGGCCGGGCTGCCTGGGTCTGAATGGCAGTGCCATCCCTTACCACCAGAATGGATGGAATGGTCTTGGTACTTACCTGATAAGCTGGTCACATGATCTGTGAAGAAACTGAGGTATGGAGTAAAGTGCTAAATGCAGAAAAGTGCCTGGCATGCTGCTCCTCTCTGTTGGTGCCTCCTGCACTTAGTAGGTTGCCCCTGAAAGGAAACCAAGACTTAGGGCCCCAGGGGAAAGAGTGTGCTTGACCTTGAAGGATACACATGGGTCAGGCTGTGCTCATCCATTCGTTGAACAAATAGATTACTGAGCTGCTACCCAATGGCAGACACTGAGCAAGGCTTGGGGTGCAGCAATGAATATGCTCCTGGTGGGGGAGGGGGGGTTCAGTCAGTGGGGAAGACATGTTCAGTTAAGACACTAATGAGAAAGGCAAAATGAAATGAGTGCTCCGAAGGTGTCTTACTAAGTGCTCCGAGCACCAGTGACCTGAGCTGGCCTTGCGGGCCTGGGGGCTGGCTTGCAGGAAGCTGTGTGCCATCTGAAACCTGGAGGGCAGCAAGGCATCAATCATGGAGGCCTAGTAAGGGTGCTGGGAAGAAGCACTGTAGACAGGGCTGAGCTGCCCAAGGGGCCTGGGGGAGCTTGGTGAGTGTGGGTGGCTGTGCCAGCGTGCCACTCGAGGGGTCCCATTAGGGTCAGGGTGAGACCAACTCTACACAGTTTGAAGGCAGGGGGTGGAGGGGTTCACATGATGCAGGTGTATGTTTTGTAAAGATGAGTCTGGCTGTAATGTGCAGAAGAGATGGGGTTGGAGTAAAGGTGGGGAGGATGTGGGGTGACCGATAAGGCAGGAGGACAGGTTAACAATTTCTGGGCTCTGTGGTGGTAGGGGAGCCGATAATTGAAGTCTATGCATTTTAAGAAGGCAGGAATCCTTTCTGAAAAACTGGGAGATTTCTACGCTGAGGTTACTTGTTCTCAAGCATAACTTAGTACAAACTTAGAGACCTGGGGACCTAGCAAGGGGCAGAACTTCACAGAAATGGTCAACTTACCCCCTAGAATTCTGAGGCCCAGGGCTGTGTGACGAACCCAGGCTCTGTCTATGTGACCTTGACACTGTGCAGTGTTTACACTGTGCTTCCTGTGGGACAGCAGCATGGCATGTAGGGACACAGACAGGTTCTGGGTGTGTCTGTCTTGTGGAAAGCCAGCATGATGGACACCCTTCATTCTTACTGTTTCAGAGAGGAGGCGAGTCATCCCAGACGCCTCATCTTTACGCTCCTCCCTCAGCTCTGAACTATGGTGTTGCCTGTCAGTTTTAAGTAGCATAAAGATGCTGGACGCTTGCCCGCTGCACAGGTGCCAGGTCGTGTACTCACGATGGGAGCGTGGAGGTTGCATGTCCGAGGAAAAGCCAGCCTGTGCTCGGTACTCATCCAGCTTGGGACAGGGGCTGGAGAGGTGCTTGCTCTCTGGGGTGGCTGGGACCATCTGGGATAGAGAGCCAAACAGCTACAAAAGGCCCTTCTCCAGGAGTATCCCCAAGCCACCAAGCTGTGCCCACGGCCTCCCGCCCTCCTCAAAGCTGCCACCACATATCTAAGCAAAAGCCCCACCCCAGGGGATGTCCATTCAGCACATTTGACCCTCCCGTGGGCCGGGACACCATGTGGGGCTGCTGGTGTTGGGGAATCAGCAGTCTCAGGGTGCCTATGGAGCTAGCACACCCAAAGGAGCAGGTTCTGGAGGTGCTGGGAGGACCAGGCTGTCCCAGGATGAGCTGCCAGGAGCGCTGTCTGTGGTGGGGTGCGACCCTGGTGTTGTGAAGTAGCCGTTCTCGGATTGCAACGGCCTGATTCACAACACCAGCTGCCCCACCGCACCGTGGCATGCCGGGGAGGTCTCTGCGTCCATTGGAGGTCCTGGGTCTCCACCATGGTGCTGCTCTGGAGTGTGGAGAGGGGACGGCAAGAAGTCATGGGTTAGTGGACTCTTCAGTGCAGGCAGCCCCCACACTTCACCCCCTGTGATCAGCTTTCTTTGTTTTAGTGCTCTTTGCCTGCCTTCCTAGCCCTTGGGGTCATGGGTGGGCATCAGTGACTCCAAGGAGGCCTGGACCCAAACTTCTCTGTGTAGGGGTTCTTCTCTGGGTACCGCCTTTAACAAATCCTCAAAGGAAAACACAACTCTCCTCAGCCTGCACGGCTCTGCCTGGGGAGCCACGCGTGTTGAAGGCCCGCCCCTCTCAGGAGTGTGAGGGAGCACGGAGTCAGGGGATCCTTTAAGGATGGAGGGCATCTCCCTGACACCGTCCTCCCCAGGTAGGAGCACATTCCAAACCCAAAGGAAGGACCATCGCTAGGATTGGGGACAGTCACGCAAGCCAACAAAAGCTGAGACTGGCCAGAGAGAAGTCAGGTGGCCACGTGCACACAGCGTCCCTGTGCCCCGACTTTATTGGCGGGTGACCTGCGGGGCTACTTCTCTCCCAGCTTCAGAAAGACTCAGCAGTAAGATAACTTTGAAACTCTACTTTTGGTATCTGCCTGGATTTTATCAGCATTATGAAATTACGTAACACCAACTGACATGAAAATAGCATTTGAAGTTTAATCCCTATTTCCAGGTGTCGATTAAACACTTTCAAATGAACAGCTCTTTGGCCCAAAGTGGCTCCTGCCTGCTGCGTGGTTCAGTTACCCAATCATGAAAAATCACATTTTCCACTTTCTGCCATCTATCTTGGAACCTGCTTTATTTTAAGGATGCAAAGCTGGCAAGTTTCTAGTACTGGATGTGGCACCGAAGTCCTGCCAAAGTTCTTGCTGGAGCTGGGGGAGGCAGAAACTGAGTAATTCATCAATCATAGCTCAGTGCTGTGCTGTGTAAACCACAGTGGCTTTGGAGTTTAGAAATGTGTGGGTTTTCATGTCGATAGTCAAAGAATCCCTGCTGGGACAGAGGCCATCATCTCCACACTGGGATCTCTGTGGGCCACAGCATGGCCATGCTGGGAATTCCTAACACACATGGATGGCTGTGCCATACCATGTGCTGGGACAGAAGTGTGCATATGCTGGGCCAGGCACTGTTCTAGACATTTCCATACTCTAGCTCCTTGAATCCTCATTACCCCAGGAGCATTATGAGCTATCACTATGCCCGCTGGGCTAGGAATGGGATGCTGAGGTGCTTCCTCACCTGCTCAAGCAGACAGTCCCTGGGGTCCCCCAGTTCTAAGGTCTGGGGGCTGCTCTCAGGAATGCAGTATGGACTACTAGGGTGTTGCAAACAGCATTCTGTGTGCATTTTGATTCTGTCCCTTCTTACCTGTGTTCCTAGGTCAAGTTAGTGAAACCTCTGGGTCTTGGTTTCAGTATCTGCAAAACAGTAACAATAAGATTGAAAACCCTTGCATATAGCAATATATATGTGTATGTGAGCACTGTGATGAGTTACATGGCTGGCTTTCTGAGCATGGGGTAGAGATACACCTCAAATATTTTCTTTCCTGTGGGGCTGAAACTTTAGCCTTGAGGGCCAACAATTGCTCATGCTGAGAAAGAGCAAGTTTCAGAAAATTTCCTTGTAAAATAAAGCAGGGGGACTGTAATTGTGTGTTTGGAGCCTTTAGCACAGATAGTGCTTTTATGGCCAGGACTGTGGCTGTGGGGAAGTCTGTATCAGTGGCAGGGGAGGCCAACACAGGCTATGAGGAAGTAAAAAAACTCTACTAAGCCCAGGTACTGGCCCTCTCCCATCTCTGCAGCTGAGGGGCAGATGGTGACTTGGAAATAGATAAGACTGGTCCCATAAATACACCTATCTGCAGCCAACTCTAGAATTTGGCTCTGTCTAGAACCTACCAGTATCTAGGGTGTCAAGGAGGGAACAAGAATTGATTGTCTCAAAAGTAACACAGGTCTTCATAATTTAACTTAAAAGTGTGAGGACCTGGCATCCTGCAAGAGCCAGGCCTGCCCATCCCTTTCTCCTTATTCTTCGCCGTTCTCCTTGCATCTGTGCCATGCTCCTTCCCACCACAGTGCCTTTGCATAAACTCCTTCCTGCACCTGGAATGCCTTGCTCCCCATTTCACATAGTTTAATACTAATTCCTTCAGACTTCAAAATTACTTCCTGGACTCACATCCCCAGACCAGACCTGACTCCGCCATAACTGGCTGTCTAGGCAGCCTGTACTTTTCCTTCCACAATCACACAGTGTGAGCAGAGTCTCCTCTATTTGACTATCACTTGACCACTGGATCCTCAGTATTGACTACATGGGGCCAAGCTTGATCAATATTGGTTGGTGAGTGAATGATTTAAACTAAGGCTCTGGTAGCTTAGCTGTTTACTATTTTTCTCTTTTTTAAGTCTTTGGATAAACACCTCAGAAAAGTCAAAATGGCACCAAGTATTTTACGGTCATACATAGGGTTATTTTGGAATGAATAATTTACTGCAATAGACTGATGGCTCAACCTCCTAATTCAGCTCCCTGCCTCTAGGCAAACCCCACTCAGATGCACAGGGGATAACGATTCTTCCAGAAGGTCAGTCTGATCTGCCTTACCCTCTCTAAGGCTCCCAACTGAGCCCCAGATCCATTAGCCCCTCACTCCCCCTATGGAGCAGGAAAACCCCCATTACACCACATGTGCATGTGCCTGTGGATTTGAACCCCCATTAGCGTGCCCTGCCCCTTTGCACCCACTGTTCCTTCTTCCTTCCTGTAGCCTGGCTCCTGGCCCCTCACTCATCCTGAGCTCTTGGTCCAGCCTCTATGGCTCTCGTACCTTTTGTGTCCTGCCATTATTGTTTCCCTCTTCAGTCTGTCACCCTGAGGACAGAGGCTACTGTGGAGTCACCTGGCAGCACGCGGAACAAGGGCTTTTAGCTGGGATGTACTGTCAGTGAGGAAGGTCCTACAAAGTTGGGGACAAAGTTATACAACAGTAAAAAATTGTCCTCGTTGTCCCCTATTTATCACCAGCATGTCTGGAAAGTCCTATTTTTCCATCAAAGTACACTTCTTCATCTCCATAGTTACCTTGTATCCTGAACCCAAACCCCAGCACCTCTCACCCGGATGGGGTGACATGCATCACTGTTTCTCACTGTGATTCAGTCTTCACATTGAAGCCTTATGATCTTTTTAAAACATGAATCAAAGCATGTCACTTGCCTGCTTTAAACCCTCATTCAAGCCTATCACGTCCAGAAGGAAGTCCAGGTCCCCTGCAAAAGCCCACAGATCTGGGTGGTGGGTGGTCCAGCACCACTGACTTACCCACCAAACCAAGCCCTCCTCATGACCTAGCTGCTTGTCTGGCTTTCAGATTTTGAAACACAGGACCAGGCCATAAGGCGCCCTCTGCGATGTAAGAACTTGGACCTTTCCTATAGATGGCGCCTCAGGAAGGTGCCCCTTTCCCTGGACAGACACAGTCCTAGGACCAGCGTGTGGCCTGGTGGTTGATCTTGGGCTGGCCAGCAGGGGTGCCTTTTGTCCTTCAGCCACACCGGGTGCCCTCCTGGAATATGCCCTGTTCTTTCCCACTTTGGTGCCATTTTACCTGCTGTTGCCTCCCTAGGGACTTCAGCTACCCCAGGGGTCTTTTAAGAAAATATAAGATTTCTTCTAGGATTCCAGGATTTTAACCAATGTCTTTTATCTCTTTATTTTCCACTTTGGCCTGTGTATGTTAGTCCCCCTTCACTCCCGCTCAATAAGTTCAAGCCATCTGATTCTTCTTTTTATGGCACATAATGATTATTTGGTGTAGGCAATACCAAGGGCATGATATTTATTTAAATTTTATAACAGCAGATGTCTTGAATCAACAAACCATTTCTCCCCTGCCTGTTACTTCTAGAAAAAAGATGAGGGCAAAAGAAAAGCAGGACGTGTACTTTATCAACCACCTCCTAGGTTGGCCCGGGGTCAACAGATTCCATTCAGCTGTCACATCTACCCGGAAGCAGGCTGGGGCTGGATTTGGGGTGCCACTCTGAGGTCCTTCAGATAGTTAGGGAGTGAAGCTACCCCAGGGATTCTGATCAACCATATTTGGGGGCTGCTGCTATAAATCTAGGGCTCTGTTGCAGCTAATGCACCTCAGTACAGTGGGACTCTGATAGGGCTCCAGCATCTTCCGAGGAAAATGAAACCTCTTCCACACGGCAGGCACTGCTGGTGCCCAGCCCCAGAGAGCCTGTTATCCCCTATCACTCTCATCTCGAGGCTTCCTTGGGTCAGAAAAGGGAACAGGAGCTTCGCCCTGGGCGAGGGCTGGATGCCAGGGAGTTAATATTCCCGAGCAGCACTCCAGGGGAGTTGGTGGACAAACACCTGGATCTCACACCCCAAATCAGTTGGCAGAAACCCCCACTTATCCCAGCAGTTACCTGGTGGACAGTACAACCTTCACTGGCTCCTTGCCCCCTCGCCTCCCCAGGTTTGTTGGCTCTACCTCCCCACACCTGGCTGTGCACTAGTGTCTGCATCTTTGAGGGCGTCATATTGTCACTGGGTATATCTTACCTGGTTTTCATGGTCACTTTCAGCAGGGAGGGGCCAAGGGGGGCCGGGAACTAACTCACGGGTCTGGACTCCACTTTCCTGTGAGCCAGGTGGTGAATGCCTTCTGAAAGTTGGAGTCCTGGGCGTCTTGCTTGCTCACCTGGGTCCCAGCCAGACTTTCAGGGAATAAGAATACATAAATCAGACAAAACAACCCATCGCAGGTAGTTATTTGCTAGCATGTCGTACCTATGTTTTTTCATAGATGACAAGCCTTTAAATGGAAGGCCTTGTGGCCCTGAAGCCCAGAGGTCTTAGAATCATTCTGCAGTCAGTGGTCACAGGAGCTGTAATAAGAACTTATAATAGCACGTCTGCTCTAGGATGATGGCAAAAATAGACCCAGAGGCAACCTGGGAAGCCTGCTTCTTTGGCCCATCTTGGCTGATGCCTTCTAGGTGGGCTTTGACATAAAAACTCCTGGTTCAAAGAGGACTGCCTGGCCTGCTGGGCCCAGCCTGGAGTTTATTAGCACAGTTAATATCGCATGCAAATAGATTTCCCTGCTTCGGTCATGCCAGTCCATTAATTCAGCCTCTTGTCTGCTACATCTTTATCCTTGGCAGGTTAATCCTGCCAAATGCCTCTGCTAGAGCACATGTCACGCTGTGCCTATGTCCAACAATGCAATTTTGCTAATCCTGTTGCATCAGCTTGTAGCGCTGTCTGGTCAATCCAGTGGTGGAAAAAGTGCATATAAGGTATTTGCCAAGGTCTTTCTCCTATTCTGGCACCCACCCCTTCCCTTTTTTTAAAAAATATGGTTTCAATTAAATGGTTTGAAAGTTAACCACAGTGTTTGGACAGCTGCCAATACCAATGTCTTTCAGATAAGAATGTCAAGGCTCTCAGCAGGCCTCCCAACTCTTTCCAGCAGCCTCACCAGAGCCATCAGCTGAATATGCTAAATGGGAAGGGTTAAAACAGGAAATCCCATTAAACATCTCTCTTTTCTTAGGGGCTCCACATGTTAAGGGCTTGAAGATGACTGAATGGAGGGTCTATGGATCAGCCATTATTGTTGGTTGGTGCCATCCTCTTTAGAGTTCAGGGGAATCGTTAACATGAGTTATTAGTGCATCTGTCCCTGCCATCATCTCTGTCAGGTCCCCATCTGCACAGGGAGAGGCACTATCGGGGCCCACTAGAGGGAGGATGATGTACTGCTCCTCTTGTCCTGGGCCCAGTCCTGGTCAAGAGCAAGGACCAGCAGCCAGATCTGCTCCAGCTTGAATCTTGGCTTCATTGCTTTCTACCTCTGTGACCTCAGGCAAGTAGCTTTACCTTTCTGGCCTCAGTTTCCCTATCTGTTAAATGGACACAACCACAGCAACTGCTGCACAGGGCTGCTGTGAGGATTCAGCGAGTTAGCACATGTTTGTCACATAGTGACACTGGGTAAATGAAGTTAATATTAGCATTGATTGTGAAATTTGTCAAAATTAGATCCATGGTCATTTGTAGCTTACTAAAGCTCATATACAAAGAGCTCTGTAAGATTCCACATGGCCATGTCCTTGTCCTTTAGGGTCTTCAGGTGTCATCTATGCTCTCTTGCCCACTGACCTCAGAAATCTGACGATGAGAAGCCCTGTCTACCCTCCCTGATCTGTGCTCCCCTGCAGCCTCAGAAGGCTCGAGCATGTGGAGGTCCTTCCTGCTGGATAAGTGATTAGAGTGCTAGGGATTGGTCCTGGGCCTGCTACTGTGTGACTTCTGGGTAAGGGGCTCAACCTTTATGACTCTTACAATCCTCACACATTAGAAATGGAGGTACTTGGTTCTATAGGGCAGGGTTATTTCGAGGATAAAGTGAAAAAGCATAGGCCAGGTGCTTGGCACACTACTGAGATCACATAATTGCCCCATAAATAATGACTATTATGGCTATGGAGTCTCCTGTAAGGCACCAGGGCTTCCCTCTCCAATACGCCATCCATCTGCCTCCTAATCTTCCATAGCCTTTGTGGAGAGGTTGTGCGAGCTACGTGGGATCATGTAGGGAAAGCTGCCAGCGCAGAGCCTGGCTTCCAACCCGGGCTCGGGAGACGCAGCCACGCTCATGCACTGCTGCTGAACCACAGCACACACACCTGACTCTTTTCCTGCCCGGGATGTCTTCGGCTCCCCCAGGCCCTGGCACACTGGTCTGAGCATTAGCCTGTAGTCTGAGCCCTGCTAAGACTTACGAGTGGCGTGGATTTTAAATGACAAATGTGCATGTAAAGATTTGAAACTGGCCTTAAGCTGTTTTGGACAGAGCTGAATGTGCATTATGTACACTCACATGTGCACACAGTAACCTCGAGGGAGTAAACCTGTTCAGTGTCAGATGGGAAGAGCTGCGTGCTTCCCGTGGCAGCTCAGCCACTGAACACCAGAAACTTCTGGTCCTGCTCCATCTTCTGATAAAGGGAGTACTATCATTAGTTGAGAACTTACTATGTCCTCTTTACCATGTTACACTTCACATTTGTTACCTTCTTGAATTCTAATTGAGGTAGACTAAACAGTATACCTACTAAACCTTTCCTACTAAACTAAAGTTCTGAAAAAAGAAAATGAAGAATTGGAAAGGACAATTCACTTACCCCAAGTTGCAGCTAGAAAGTGGCTGCAGAGCGGTGGCTTGAACTTGGAGCTGTGCTCTCCAGGCCACAAGGCCACGTTAGAGGTCTTTGGTGTGATGTCATTTCTTCTGTCAGGTTCCTGGGTCAAGGGTGTTCCTCTTAAATTACAAATAATTTATTTGCTCCAAGTGACAGCTATGCCAAAAACATTTTTTTTTCTAAAAAATGAATCAGGGTTGTGGGTTTTTTTTTTTTTTTGGAGGGGGGAGAGCAATATGGCAAAACAAACCAAAAAACCCAAAACCTGAGACCTCCCTTTTGCAAAGATTAGGAAATTCCAGCCTCTAGCATGTTCCAGCAAGATGACAACACTTATGTATCCCAAGTCCACCATGTACATCTTAATCCAGTTTTCATTTGCCAATCTCTTGAATAGGAATAAAGCTACTTGCAGAATGAGCATATCTGACCCCCTGGCCTCCGTGGCACACAAGTCCACCAAGGCACACCTGCGTGTTGCCTTGGCGAGAATTCTTGCTGAGAGGGCTGTCTGTCCCGCATGGGCCTGGAGACAGCCATGCTTACCCTCGCAGAATGCAAGCATCTCTGAACTGTGCTTACTGGATACAAGACAGCCCCAGCTTCCTGTTGCATTTCCTCCAGTGGGATCAGACACATCCTGGCCAGACGAGTGGCCCCTGCTCCTGCTTTTTGCAGTGGCGGGTGGCTGTACCTGGGTGCAGCCTCTTGGGGGGAAAGAAAGGCTGGAGCAGAAGAACAGGCACTCCACATTTGAGACGCCTGCTCTGTGCCATGTGCTGCAGGCAGCTTTTTTTAGTGGTTGATTCACTGTCAAAAAATTCACTTTTGCCATGAATACTACTTAGCATCATGGAGGGAATGTATGATTTCCCCTTCTTGATGGTGTGAATTTAGTGCCTTCATTAGCTATGGGGTTTTGTTTTTTTCTGTTCTTTTTTTGCCCAGTCAAAGTTGGCTAAGTCCTATCTCTGTAGTGGTTGCAGGGATGGGCTGGGTACTCACGCCTGTCAGAGCGAGAGCAAGTTTTCTCTCCTCGCAAGGACTTAGCAGCAAAGACGTCATGCAATCCAGGGCAACCTGGTTTTGACTTCGCTCTGCTTTTCTAATTCTTCACTGAATTTAAAAGTGCTTGAAGGTTGTTGAATTTTCCCTTTTTTTTTTCCCCCTTTATTGCGGTCATCTCAGTGAGGAGTCTTTTTGAGGGTGTGTGGGAGGGGGTGATAACAGGAAAGTGAAAATCCCACATGCATTCCTCAGAAGTGGCTGAGGCTTGAGGTGCTAAGAGCTTCCAAAAGGGCTGTCAGCTCCTAGCCTTTCCTGAATAATGCTGTTTGGTACTCTTTTAGGAACCACGCAAAACAGTAAAACCTTACTTAAAAGTACACAGAAGCCTCAACTTACACAAAAGCCACCTGACGAGTGACTTCTGCAAGAGATGTAAGACCGTTAAAAGCTATTTTCCTTGATGTGTTGGACATCCTGTGCAAGACACACGACTTGTTTTAGGGATGCGCCCATTGTAGAGAGAGAGGCACAATGCATTTGTCTCTGAAAAGGGATTTCTTAGGAAAAAGCATCTGCCTCCCCTGCAAGCCCCAGAAGACATATTGACAACAGGGGGATTAAGACATATTGACAATGGGAGGATTATTTCCTACCCTGGTGTGTGACAAACGCCTGCTAATACTTGCCCAAGACAATGCTGTCTCCATCTCCTCTTAAACACAAAGGCCATCACCCACCGACTGGACCTGAGGTACCCATGGGCTACTGACCTTGCCTGTCCTGTGGCCGGCCCAGGAGGATGCAGGGAAAGTCCTAAGCTGAGACTCTCGGGCCCGGATTGATGTGGCTGTGGAGCTGCCCTCCCTTCTGGCATACCTCTCGTTTTGGCTCTAGGCATTCCCATGGCCAGCAGACAGGAAGTACCCAGGGGAAGCTTAACCAAGCAATTCTTCTCAGAGAAGCAAAGAAGTTGTTTGTAAACCTCGATGAGCAAGGAGACCTCAGAGGCCTGGCTGGGCAGTTGTCACCCCAGTGCAGGTCCACTTTTCCTTTCTGAAAGTCCTGTTCTCTCCAATTCCTGACCCCAGAGCCCCGCGAAACTGCCTGCAAGTTCTCAGGACCCTGGCACACAGGTTTGTATTCTCCTCTTTCCAATATTTCCCCTAAGAAACTAGTGTTTTAAAAAGGCAGCAACTAAGGGCCTCCCCTGTGGCGCAGCAGTTGAGCGCTGGGTTGCGAAGCTGCCCGCAGCCTCTGCAGTGCCGGTTCGATCCCCCGCCACCAGGCGAGGGTCCCACATGGCGCAACAGACCTCTCCTGCCGCGCCCGCTGCTCCCCTCAGCAGTGTACTTCGGTCCTTCTGCCTGTTCTGTTCCCCTCTCTGGCTCTGGTGAATTCTCTCACCCTCCCGCGCTTCTGACTGTACCCAGTGCTTGTATACATAAATAAATCAATCTTAAAAAAAAAAAAAAGCAGCAACTAAGGTAGTCTTGGAGGAAGAAAACCTTTGAATGAAAGATGGCCTAAGAGTAAGGGGGGGTGGTCTGCTTTGAAAAGAATGCGTGGCCTTGCTGGCACGGGAGGCTCAGGACAGGATAAGGGACAGACTGGGAGGAAGGGTGAGTCCGTGCCCTCTTCTCACAGCCTTGGCTTGGGGGACTTGCCGGCTCACACCTGTGCTCACACCCCTGCAGGCCCTGTTCACGGCTGTTAGGAGATCACCCAGCCATTATCTACAGAGGTCACTGGCAAATTCGAGGGACAAATCACCAGTGGGAGTCTTCCTGTGGTTTTAAACTGGCTTCTGGAGGCTGGCAGCAGTGCCCACGGGGGTCTGCTCCCCAGGCTTTAGTGCTGGGCACACCGCTGGCAGCTCAAGGACACAGGCCTCTGAAGAAGACCCAGGGTAGCTGGTGAATTCCTTGGGTACTGTGGCCACAGGGACCACATCACCAAGGTGCCTCTGAGTCCAGGGGGTAGGGGGCGGTTTTCCTGTAAATGGAGTGTTCAGTGCTTGGGGTGGGATATTATTTAGAGGACCAGGATAGCAGGGTGGACCAAGTCAGGGGGAAGAATGCAGGGGCAGTCCATGCAGCTTCCTTGGCAACACTATTATAAAAAAGTCGACCATTATTCACTGATGAAATTGAACAGGAAATGTTAAGACAAATATCCCTGAGACTGCTCAAAGTAAAACATTTTTGAACCCTAGGTATCGGAATGTAAGCATTTAAAGACAATGTCATGATAAGGGGTCTATAACATAGAAAAACAATCAAGAGCCCCTCCTCCATGGGGATGCCCGGGAGGGTGGAGACGGGCATAGGCATAAGGATGCAGCCGTCTGAGCCTCAGCCCAGAGGCTCCCCTGCTGCCTCCTAAGCCTTGTAGTGCTGGCCACATGCTCCCAGGGGACTCTCTGCCTCAGCTTCTCTATTGCTAAAATGGGAGTAACATCCTCAGAATCAGACATCACGTGTCCTCCCTTCGACCCAGGCTTTGGTCAACTCAGTACCCTGTCAGATGGCACAGAAAAGCCCACTGACCTGTAGCGATATCACTGGCCTCTTCATCCTTGCTCTGGACACAAAATGGGCCATCCAGTCTCCTTCTTTCTGTAAGAAATTACCAGAAAATGGCCACTGTTATAGTCATTCTAACTTCAAGCTAGGCAAAGGCACACTTGGGTGTCAGCTGAATTCCCAGGAGGCCATTCTGGCCCAAAGAAGGTCTACCTTACTGCTGACCTGCTGCTGCCTTAACCCTGGGCTGAAAAACTGCAGGTGGGGCGGGTGGGCTTGCCAGGTGGGAGATTCCACCTGGCTGGGCACATGCTGCTGGTCTGGCCTGCATTTGCATATTCCTTAAGACAAAGTGACAGCGCACAGCTCACATTATCACAGCACTCTAAGTGCCTCTTAGAGCTCGTCTGATGCAATGCTTCTAGTGACAAGCTTTCCCTGGCCTTTTAAGCACAGGTGTCGAGAGGATGAAGTTTGTTTTAGGGCGGAGGTGCTCTCAATTGTCCCTTCTCTCCTCCCCTTCACATCCTTAGACAGAAAAAAAAAAAAAAAAACAAAATAAACAAGGAAAACAAACGGACAATGATGCATTCATTGCATTTTAACCAAAGCATCACGCCCACAATCTACCCCGCTATTCCTTTGTCCCCTTACTTGCAAACCTGAGGGTTCAGAAGAAGAGAAAACTTTCAAGGAAAGCTAGAGAGAAAGGTGACATGAGACAAGCCTCAGGTGAAGGTACACCTGACGTCCTCCATTCCGCTTGTCCTTGAGAGGCACTAAAATGGGATGTGAGCAGGTGGGGAATAGACCAGTTTGCGGCAGGACTTAGAGCAAACTAAGCTTTGTGAAAAGCACAGGTTGCTAGGGGCCATCTGTATTCTGTAAATGTCTAACTTTCATTTGAAGCAAATTTTGCTCCCCAGTAAATGCTTTTAATTCCTATACTCCTTGAATAGGTTCAGATCAGCAAGGTGAAGAGGTAGCAAAGAATGAGGCAGCCCATCCATAGCCCTGAGTGGGCAGGAAGTCCAGGTGAGCAGCCTGTACCCCGGGGCAGTGGGGTTCCTTGCAGCCATGGCCACAGGCATTTCTAGGCATCACCTCTGGGGCCGTTTCAGCTTCTCTCACCAGCTAACAGGCCCCTGGGTGGCTCAAGGAAGCATAGGAGGTGATGACCTAGCTTCTTGGAGGGGGGAGGTGACCCTGGTACAGAAGGGAGACCAACTCACGACATTCTATTTTATTCCTGATTTAGAAGTACTGCCTTAAACTTTTGTTTTGAAAAGCCTGCATTGGCAGCAAAATTAACCTTTTAGATTATCCAGAAATTAAACTCACACTGCTTCTGAAATGTCAGTGAGAAAGTGTGTGAGTCCTTCATGCAAAGCAGCCCTCTATGGAGTGGATTCTGCTCTCAGAAATCACATTTGCTGCTTTGAGACAAATTATTGACCAGAAGCATGTGAAGTTAAGAAACGTAAGACAATTCAATCCCAGTGTGCAGCATATTGAGAACTACTTTCCCTAACTTTTGTTTTCCTTTAAAGCAAGCTCAAATTCTAAGTTAAATTTCCCAACTATAAGGTTTTGATGAGAGAGCTGGGACTTTGGGCCAGACAGACCCACAACCTTGATACCTCACCTTAAGGGTGGGGAGAGGGGTGTGGGAAAGATGCAAGCTCAGTCAGCTCATGGTAAGTGGCAATGGTGACCTCAGAGGTTGCTACAGGGATCAAACCAGAAGAGCATGGGACGCAAGTGCCATTAACTGCTCGCCACAGCAGGTGAGCCCGTCCCACCTCAGCCAATCGTCCTTGCCCTGGACACCCATTCTGGTCATGGGGAGAGAACTTCCACACAGGTCCCGAGCATTCCTGTGAGAGTTTCTTTTGACTCATCATCCAAGGAACCTGGGTTTGGACACTACAAACTGAAGCCATGTAAGCACTGATGTCGAATCGCGAGGCTGGTTCGAGCTACACAACTGTACCCAGAGTCACTGCCAGCTAAAGCTCCTAGTCCCAATAATCCTCCTGCTCAAACTGAAGAAGAGGATGAAAGAAAGAAGTAGATTGCACATGCCAGTCACGAGGAAGGTGTCACCTTGGGTGACGGTTTTTATTCTACTCTTGGAACTAACCCCACACTGGGGGGTTAGAATGCGAGCAGCAAAGGCAGTGATGTGCGGGGCAATGAGGTAACGTGGCTGGGCCTGTGGCTCTGCAGTCTGGGTTGTCAGGACAGAGCTGAGTGGGAGACTTTGCAGCTGTTGGGAGACTTGCCGCAAACACCCTGGCTAGGCCAGGCTTCCATCCGAGCAATGCAGCTGCCCCTCTCCTTCCTGGACAAGAATCTGTCTGACAAGCCATCCTAAAGGCAAAGAAATCCTCCTGCGAGTGGACTCAGCTCTTTGAAATCATGTAATTGCGTTGAGCTTAATTAACAACAAAGGGTCATCTGATCTCGGCATCCAGCTTTTGTTTTTTGGTTCACTTTCAATGCGGGTTATCACGAATGGGATCAGTGGGAAAGAGATGACTGCCTGATCTGCCCTGTCCTTTTCTTTACACACACACAGCCCCCACCCCTTCCCCATTCCTTAGTCCTTGCTGCTGGGACAGAATCGACAAGCGTGCAAGTGCCATTAACTGACATTCATCAAAACACTCTCCATTGTGTGCAGACGTGAGCGGCCAAGAGGTGGAAATTACTTGGCATTTCATTTTAATCTGTATTGAAGACTTGCCTGACAAAACATATTAAGAGTAAGAATTGCTGGCTTGGGAATGAAGCTATGTTTATGGCTTGCCCCTTATTTTTCTTTCCTACAGGAAAGGAAATGACACTTCCCCTGCCCTTCCCAACCCTCTGCCCCTTGCCAGCCCCCACCCCCACCGTTTTCATCCATGAAAGCAACATTTAATTTTCCTTCCAGAGCGAAGCTTTTGTCAGCAATGTCTATACAATCATAATAAACATTTTCTGCCTCTGCAACTGCATCTGAGATTTAAAAAAAAAAAGTCAACAAAACCCCAACAAGCTCTGTCTTTAATATGCTGTTATCGGCGGCATCTCCCTCGGGAGCTATGCTGGGGCCCTGGAACTGCAGGCCACGGAGCTGTGTGCTGGAGGAGACTGTCACCAACAGCTTCTGACAAAGAGTGGCTGCCACGCTAATGGATGCGCATAATTACCAAGGGACAATGATGCTCCCTGCTGGAGCCTGACAGTCGCTGAGTGCACAGTGGACGCCGCATGCCACTACCCTTCATTCTCTTCAGCTCCCCAAGTTTATGCTTTTATCTTTCCAGACACTTTACATTGTATCACAAAGTAAAAGTAATTAAAGGTTCCCGCAAATGGAAGATGGACTGATTTTTTTCTGTTTTTCGGTTTGTCTCTGGAGGAGGAGGCTGCTCTGGCCTGTACTTTCTAGGCCGTGGCTGGCCATCCGGAGGCCTGGGACACAGGAGGAGGGACCGTGAGGTAGGGCGGGGGTTGTTACAGATTGGCAGAAATCACGACGACACTGGGACTTGGCCAGTTTTATGCTTGCTTTGCTTAGGGACCTGGTGTGCAGGCGGGGTAGAGAAACCCTGTCTTGGGTGTTCCTGGGGTGAAATCAGTGCCCTGGCCATTTGGGAGGCCTGCTCTTGATGGACTTTCTATTTTCAAGCTTTGAAGCCTGCTCCCAACTGTCACTCACCCCCTTTCCTGTCTTGTATTGTTGATCTTGGTGAGAGTTATGTGGGCACAGTCTCTCCAGAGAGGCCTCTGGTGTCCCCCACCTTGGCTGGAAACACAAAGTTGTGTTTGCTTCAGCTCTTCACTGGACCTTTGCTGTTTGCAAGATTTTTGTGCCAGCATCAAGTCCTCTGGCCAGTTTCCCTTCAAACTGTTAAGCCTTGGGATGTTCTGGCCAGGGCTGCCCGTGAAGCCCCCAGTTCTCACAACAGGTTGAGGGTCACAGGGGGAGTGAGGTTCACCAGGGACTCAGCGTCAGTGCAATGCTGACACCCAGTCCCAGCTGAGCCAAAGCTGTGGGTTGATGGCTGCAGCGGTTCTGTCCCTGCCTGGCCACCCCCCAGTGAGTCCAGTTCTACTGGAAGCATAAGAGAGCGCGCGCCTCTGGAACACACAGATACAGCACTGCTCACGCCACAGAGCAACTATCTCAAGCTGACTCCAGAGGGGGAGAATCCTTTGTGACTTGGCTTATGAACATCAGGCCCTGGACCAATACAGGCAGGCCCTGTATTGGTATCTGTATTGGCCAATACAGGGCCCTGTATTGGCCCTGTATCTTTCCTCCCAGGCCCCAGCCAGACACGCCGAATGCACGCTAAACATTCACACCTTAGCAGCTCAAAAGACGTGACCTTTTGAAATGATGTAAGAAAATAACACCCAGTTTTAAGTCATAATTTTAACCTCTAACTTTTGAAAGATAAATAATGTAAGAGGTACTTGCATCTGACCAGAGGTTAGCAACTGATTACCATTCATTCACTTCTGTCCCTAAGAGTTACAGAAAATCACTTGAACTGACTATATGGTACAGTCACCTCATGTCTAGAACGTATAAGCAAAACAATATTCTAAAATTGTGGAATATAGTTCTGATTGTTTTTCATATAAAAATTAGGTTAAGTAAATAATAATGCTCTATTGGTTTTCCCTTAAACAAGACCTTTTTGTTTTTCCAGGAAGAAACTTCTCAGATTATCAAATGGATTCTTCAGTTCCCTGACACAGGATTGTGTAAGATGTACACAGCCCATTTTGTCTCCAAGAAACCCCAAAGGACTTAAGTATCTCCTAGATCATCACAAAGGCCCTGTTGGCATCCACGTCCCCACATACTCATCCTGGGTCTGAGGGAAAAGAGAGGGCAGGCAGGCAGCCAGCCTGGGCAGAGAAACACCAGAGCAAAACCCACAGCCAGAGCAGGCAGCACAGAGGAGAAATGGACAGCCGGCAAGTACATGAGCCATCCCTGCCCCCTTCCCCAGCTTCCTTTCACCTTAGCCTGCTTGTTGCTGTCTGGAACTCTCCTTCTGTCTTTATTTCCTAGCCTGTCACATGACCCTCCCCTGGAGGCAGGTCCCAGAGGGTGGTCTGACCTGCTCACTTTTGTATCGCCAGCTCCAAGAGCAGCGCCCAGGATCATCCCAACAAAGGTTCAAGACATGCTTGTTGAATGAATGAATAACATCTTTGTTCTATAGAGCTGCCCACCCTGGATCTTGGCAGTACCCCCATCTTTGCCCAGAGCCAGGGCATGTAGAAGCAGTTTAGGAAATTCTCATGGAAGCCCCATGAGAGCAGGTGAGAACCCAGGCACTAAGTATCATGGTTAAAAGCCTGAGGCCCCTGGCATCACAGTCCAGAGATAACTGCTGTGAGGTTTCCTGTCTGATTCTAAAGCCTGGAACTAACTGTGGAAAGACCAACAAGGGGAGAAGAAATGATGTGTAGATAGTAACAGGGCTGGGCACAAAGAGCTCGGGAGAGGCTAAGCAGGACTGTGTCCCATGTCCAGAGTCTCTATAGCATGCATGTGCCGGTGGCGCAAAACCTGAGGTCCTGGAAGACACAGACCTTTTCCGTCCACAGACAGTTCTCTGAATATTCCTTTGTCCTATTACAACCAAGTGCAAATATAAATTTGCACTTGCCACAAAACCTTTTTCTAACCTTTAACTCATCTGTGAAAACCTGGGTGTGAGGTAAACGTTGACTTGAAGATGATCAGGCTGTATATTTAATTTACCAGCTTGCATGTGAACTTCCCCTTTGAAGTCTTGCTTACTAATTTCTCTTCACATTGTCAGTGATGTTTACTCAGCATTCTCAGCCCTTCCATTTTTTGGCTAACCTTTCTTTGGTTAAGCAGCTAGAGCTGGTATCAGTTTGAAAGCTTCCTTTGCTGGTTAGTTGTAACAGAAGAATGATCTAGTTGGCCGCAATGTTTTTACGAAGGTGTCTGGCCTTTTTACAATGAGATTTACATCATCCCCTCTTTTTCCCCCTTACACTCATAAGGGCAGGAGAAATGGGTTTTAGGCACAGATGAGTATTTTCCAGTTTCAGAACAAGTCCCTGGATACTGTGAAAGAAAACACCTACTGCATGGCCAGTGGTGACATAGCAGGGAGCCAGGGCTCCCTTGGCACATGGTGCCTGCCACTCCCACCAAGAGCCATGTTTAACCCAGTCGGGCTTTGGGGTGACAGGTCTGTGGTCTGTAGTCTTCAACTGGATGACCCTTGAAGGGTTTAGATTTTCTAAGAGAATATTGCAATGACTGATTGAAAGATATGTCTTCATCTAATCCTGAGGAAAGAGAAAACCCCAAGTGAGGGAGAGTCTTTGTTGCCTGAAAAAATGTCAATGTGATGAAAGACAAAGCTGAGGAACTGTTTCAGGATATGGCAGATCAAAGAGGAGGAACGTCTAAGTGCAGAGAGCACCGCTGGACTGGATCCTGGGCCGAGGGAAAAAGAAATGGCTTTAAAGGACATTATTGAGACAAGTGGCTAGATCTGAATATGGATTGGGATACTGCACCGATGCAAGCAGCACAATACCATACAATTGTATTAACACGATGATATTATTATATTGTCAAATCTCCTCATTTGAATAATTATACTTATGTTTTCAGGAAATAAGCTGAAATGTTTAAAGATAAGCTAGCTCTCAAGCGGTCTGAGAAGATGTTTGTATGTATATGCATATACCTGTGTATATGTGTGTATGTATGAGAGGGAGCAAAGTGATAATGCAATTAATGTGGGTCATTAATTCTTTTCATTGTACTATTTCGTTGTACTATTCTTACAACTCTAAATTTCAAATTATTTGGGGGGAAGTAATTTTTCATTTTCTCTTTTCCTTTCTATTTTTAAACATGTCATCTGTAAATATATGCAGTTGGGTGGTTTCTTTTATGAGAAGGCAGAAAAAAGTAATACTTGAAGTAACTGACATCACATTTAATGTCAATTTATCACAATATTTCTTTAAGCTCTAATAGTATATGATCCCAGTAATTACTTCATGTACTATATAATCTTAAAACTGTTTAATTTTCTTTTTCTTGCTGAAAGGCTGCTTTGGGAGGGAAAGTAATGTTTTTGTTTTATATGAAAATGGGTAAAGCAGATGGTTTGTACAGTTCCTCCAACAGCAGCATGTGGCTTAAGTTGCAAAATGCCCTTTGGCTTTTTAATTAAGTGAGAAAAATGAATTTCTAGTAAACAGAGCTTCTTCCTGCTCCTGCCCCTATTTGGTAATTTGGAGGGGCTAGTGTCTTCTAGTTAGAAGTCCTTGGGCAGCCTACCCAGCACTCACATTTATTCAAAGGGGTATCTTCTCTCAGTGTGTAAAGTCAACAGAAATGTTGCCTATTTGACACTAAAATGCTCTTTCTTTCATTCAAATGACAGATGATCAAAAGGATACAAGCAAGAATATTTCACTTGGCACGTGGCCTAAAAGTTCTAAATTTATGTGTTCTATTTCTGCTGCTTTCTCAGATTGGATTAGTTACTAGGCAACTGAAATATTTAATTTCATTTGCTAATAGTTACATTTTCATAGAGGGAGGCAGCTAGTGTACGTGACCGCGAGGCCCATACGGCAGCCCCACCCCCAGCCTCCGGTGGGCAGCCAGCAGCTCACTGCTTCATATGAACTGCCGAAGAGAACTGCTCGGTGCTCACATTATTCCCACGGCTTAGAGGTACAGGAGATGGGATGCCTCTTGTGGAACGATTTATAGGGAAAATATTTTAGTGATTTGTTTTCCTCACTAAGAAAGCCACTTGTTTGTGGCCACCTAAACTCTCTCCAGACTTCTGGTTCAAGATGGTAGGCTAAGCACGATTCTCTTCCCCTTACTGAGAAAGGAAATAGACCCTTAATCACACTGAAGGGGCACTATCAGTGCCCCAGACACAGTGAAGAATTTCTGGAAGATGGAAAACAGGTAGGGGTAGGTTTATAGAAAAAGGAGTAGGCCTGGCAGAGGTAAGAATCTTTCTAAAAATATGCCAGGAAAGCCCCAAGTCTGGACAGTCGGCAGACTGTAGGGGCACTTATAGGGCAAATGGTCTCCAAATACCTGGACTGACTCCTCCTGCCCCTTCCTTCCCCAGTGTGTGGAAGGCTGGGTGCAGCTCTCCCCGGGCTTGATTCATGGGATAGCTCTGAGAGAAGACTGGGAATTGGTTCTGGATGTGGTAGGGGTTGTTGCTTCCTGGAAACTGAGTCTAGAACATTAGTCAGAGGAAGAAGACAAGGTGCCTTAGCAGATAGTGGGAGTAAGGCGAGGAGATGAGAAACAGTTCTTCCCACTGCTCTGTTCCACTTCAGAACAGACTATCCCCATGGAGCCCCATGAAGGGCTCCAGCTGGCTGGCTGCTCTCTTCCCAGGTAGTCACGCCACCCATTAACTGATCTGTGGTCCTAGCCACCCCTCCCATTCGGGGGAGAGACCTAGAGGGGAGACTGAGACATATGATTGCTGAAGGATCACATGATAGCTATGAGATGTGAGGAAATGCTTGGCAAATAGGGAAAGACAAGAATAACAAACTGGACTCCCGTGCAGAGAACAGAACTTAACACAGACACTCTTGCTGTCTCCAGACTGATAGTGATTGAAAGAGCAAGGAAAGGCTGCTGAGAAAGCAGAGCCATCAGGGGCAGAGTACCCGGAATTTAAAAATGTGCTGAAGATTTTGTCTCATGGGGGGAACAGATTACAAATTCTGATTAAATTTATAGTTTCCTATCAACACTAAAGGATAAAATACAGAATTTGCCAAGTACTTAAGGAAAAAAGAAAAAGAAGCCATTTTGACTACAGCAATAAAGAAAAAGGAGGCAAGAAACGAAACATCGAAAAGCATGTGAAGTAGAAAATGAAAATAAATGATGGGGATGAGTTCAAAAACATCAATAGTTATGATAAGAATAGTTTAATTCTCCTATTAAAAGAGAGACTTTCAGGCTATCAGTAGAACCAAATTGTGTTATTTATGAGACTTAAAAGTGACATGAAATAGAACTATTGGTGGGAAGTATTATCCAGAAGAAAGCAAAAAATGCAGTATTAATATCAAACAAAAATAGAATTGAAGGCCAAAAGCATGGAAATATTTTACATGGATAAAAGATACAATTCAGAAGATAACATCACAAAACTTTTCACTGAACACCCTAGCATAGGGCAATGTTAGAAATGCAAGTTGAAGTTATTAAATCCAAGATCACACTGTAAACTTTGTCAGCTTTCCCAGAAATTGACAGATCAAGTAGACAAAAAAGAAATAGGTAAGGATAAAGATGACTTGAACACACAACCATGAAGCATGTTTAAATTTCCATGAAACACTGAAAATCCGACTTAAGTATTTGACCCCAAATAAAATGTCAATAAAACCCTCAAAAGATACTTACAAGGTTTCTTGGAGCTCAGAGTAATTTATAAAGGAAAATCAAAGCTGAAATTAGAGACCATATAACAATGAATGACATGACAGCACTTAGTCATAATTTACAGGTTGCATCAAAGAGGGACTCCAGTTTTAAATGCATATGAAAATAAGATTGAAAATGCACTAAACCATCATCTCAAAAAATCTTTTGAAAATGAGCTAAACAAAGTAGAAGAATCAAGATAGAAACAGAAGCTGATGAAACAAAACAAACAAGTTGGCTTTATCACTAAAACCAAAAGGTATTTAGTGATAAGATACCAGTAAGATTAAAAAAAAGGTAGATAGAAAAGAACTAGGAGTAATATAACTATAGACATGGGGTTGATTTCAAAATTATTAGACTACATGTGCAAATTCCAATAAATTTGAAGTTCCTGGGGAAAAATAGAATGATTTTCTAGAAACATTTATAAATTACTACAATCATTCATTAAGAAGCAGAAATCCTGAAAAAGGTCAGTAACTATAGGAAAAGAAAAATTTTAAGGTAAGCAAAGAGTCCCCCCTTTCCAGCTTCTGCCCCAGGTCCCAAGCCCAGGTGTTTGATTATTCACTGCCTTTTGTCTTTTTCATACTTTTAACAACCTTTAAAGTACACATTAATTGCTGTGCTAGACTTCTATCGAACATAGAAAATATGTAAAGATTCTCAATTTATTCTATAAAGCAAGTATAACCTAGATACCAAAAACGAAAGTAGCAAAGTACAGATCAGAGTTCAACTCAAAATGCTTACATAGGAAGACAATTAATAATTGGAAATTAACATAGTGACCATCAGGAGTGGCCCAAGACAGCAGAGAGAATATACACCCCATCTGAAACAAGTCATCAGTTTTGGCACAAAGCTGGGGTTAAAAGCACAATCTTATTAATGTATATATAAACAACAATCCTAAATATAACAATAAATCAAAATTAGTAGCATCTTAAGAGTTATATACCATGACCTAGGAGGGTTTAGCCTATGAATGCAAGAAAAACTCAACATTACAAAAATATATTACTAGAATTGAACTCATAGAACAGAGGAGCAAAACCACATGATCATCTTCATACACTCAGAAAGGCATTTAATAAAACTGCATATCCATTTTTTTTTAAAAGATTGATTTATTTATGCATACAAGAGCTAGAGTACAGGCGGGAGGGTGAGAGGATTCACCAGAGACAGAGTAGGGAACAGAACAGGGAGACTGACTGAAATACACTGCTGAGGGGAGCAGTGGGTGAGACAGGAGAGATCTGCTGCGTCATGTGGGTTTCTCCCTGGCTGACCGGGGAATTGAACTTGTGCTGCTGTGGCTGTGGACAGCTTCATAGGTTGCCTCTTAACCCCTTGCGCCACCAGGGAGGCCCTGCACAGTCATTCTTTTTTTTTTTTTTTCAAATAGGATATATATATATTTTAAGATTTATTTATTTATACAGGCACTGGAGTACAGGCCAGAGGTGCAGGAGGGTGAGAGAATTTACCAGAGACAGAGCAGGGAGCAGAACGATGGAAATACACTGCTGAGGGGAGCAGTGGGCGAGACAGGGGAGGTCTGCAGCGCCATGTGGGAATCTCCTTGGCCGGCCAGGAATCGAACTGGCACTGTAGAGGATGCAGACAGCTTCTCAGCACTGTGCTCAACCCGCTGCGCCTCCGGGGAGGCCCTGCACATCCGTTCTTGATAGAAATTCTTAATAAACTAACTTCAGAGAAAACACTTTGATAAAGGACAGAAGCAGAAACCTATAGAACAACCTACTTTATATTGAAAGAGTAGAAGAGGGCTGAATGCCCATCAGCACCACTGCCATTCTCCATCCCACCAGAGGTCTGGGGCAAGGTATGACTGGAAAATGAAGTGAGATGTGAATATTGGAGAGGAAAACATAATTGTTTTCAAAGTATGTGAGTCTTCTCCAAAATCTAAGACCATCATCTTGAGAATGTTTTAAAACTACTAACTTGTTGGGTAAATGCCTAGATATAGGAGGTATTTATCCCATATGTATTATTTACCTTCTCCCTTGGGTGTCAACAGAGATTGAATGGGGCATCTGGACTTCATCAACCTGCCAGTAAAGAGGCAATGCCACTCCTCCTCATGGTGGAGTAGTGTTTGAAAAAGCCACCTAAAACAGGGCTTTAATACCCAAAACATTCAGGTTTCAATTGAAAGTCATTCATACCAAGAAGCAGGACAGTCTCAACTTGAATAAAGACAATCAATAAATACCAACACCAAGATGACAGAAGTTACAATTACCTGACAAATTTTAAAGCAGCCATCAAAAAACTACCAGTATTTCAGTGAGCAATTAGGAACATTCTTGAAACAAACTGAAAGAACAATGTCTCAGTGAAGAAATACAGATGCAAAGATGAACCAAATGAAAGTTTTAGAATTTAATAATGAGTTAGAATTTGGTGAATGAACTGAAGAGTAGAACAGCAGAGCCAGAGTAAACAATGAATGAACTCGAACACAGAACAGAAATTACCTAACCTGAATGACAGAGTGAAAATAGACTGGAGTACAAAACCAAACAGGGAGCTGTGGGATTATGACAAGATCTAGCAGTTATGTCTCAGAATCCTGGAAGGAGAAAAGGGCAGGGCTGAAAAGTACTCAAATAATAATTGACAACTTCCCACAAATTTGGCAAAAGAAATGTACAGATTCAAGAGACAGAGTGAATTCCACATGGGATAAATCTAAAATTCACACCAAGACACATCATAGTCGAATTTCTGAAAAATAAGGATGTATAAATCTTGAAAGCATCAAGATAGAAGTGACACTTACAAGGGAAG